GGTCAAACGAAGAAGAATTTGGACGACGTCAACAGATTTTTAAATTATTATAAAAGTAATATGTTGCATATATTTATAAAATTATAATCGGAAACATTAAAATTTTTAATGTTTAATTCTATATTGTGCGTTTAAATACAACTATTATAGATATAAATAAAATGGAGACCGAAATTAACGCTCGTCGTAAATACGACAAACTAAAAATGAGACTGTGTATGATTGAAAGTAAGATTAGATTATCTATAACGGTTATAGTGAGCATAAGTTTAAATGTTGTACAAATTGAATTTTCAGAAGCAGAGGTGACAAATCAGATCAATACACAGCAAATTATGCAGAATATTAATATGTTATCCTCAAGTGTGAGAACAGGTGGAGTAATAGAATCAATGACAAACGTTCATTGTGATAAAAGATATCAACAAGCATACTCGTATTCACCTCCTCCAGTGAAACCAATAACATCTTTACTAGAATCAGCTTCTCCATCAATACCGCCGCCACCTCCATCACCCAAAACAGGACCTTCTTCTGAATATGCACCATATGTAATCAATTCAGATCTATTGCAATCTATGGCTAAAGAATTAAGGAAACCTGATGGTAAAAATATTAGGAAAATTCCAAAGCGTGTGGATATGAAAATTCCTAGTAAGAACACAAAAAATGCTGAACAAAATGTTGCTCTTCCATCACCAACATCTCCACACCAAAAGTCATATGTAGATCCTTCTAAACAGGAAGCATATTTTATCAATTCAGATATATTGCAATCTATGACTAAAGAATTAAGGAAACCTGATGGTAATAACATTAGGAAAATTCCAAAGCGTGTGGATATGAAAATTCCTAGTAAGAACACAAATAATGCTGAACAAAAGGTTGCTCTTCCATCACCAGCATCTCCACACCAAGAGTCATATGTAGTGCCTCCAGCACCACCACTACCTTCAATAACATTAGTAGCTCCAGAATTATATATTGATCCTCCAGCCCTATTAGAACATCCATTAATATTAGAAGCTACGAAGTCACTTGTAGAGCCTCTAACACTACAGTCATCTCAATTAATACCTCCAACGAATAATATAGACTAACCACAATTTACGTACTTATTTGCTATCACTATCACTTTCAGCCCATTTTTTTAATACATACATCTCGACCCTGAACTCTCTAAGTATCAAAATTCGGTGGTCCGGTAAATAGTATGACGAAAATATATGAAATGGCTCGTATCCTGAATAAATAGAATAAAACACATTTTATTTTAAATTCGTGTAAGTATTTGGTTTTAGTTATTTAAAAGTATAAAAACCATATTTATTGATTGAGTTAGTTATTTACTTCAGTTATTTATAAAAATCAATTCACATAACTTTTTTGATTCTGGTAAAATCAAACGTTAAAACGACAATATTGTTATACGAATTAAAATACCAGAATCAAAAAAGTTTTGTGGATTGATTTTGACGAAAACTTAACAAAAAAAAAAAAAAAAATAATAATAATATCTGAGGTAAAATTTAGTTAAATTGTAGTTTAATCAATCAAATAATTCGGTTTTTACACTTAAATAATCAAAATCAAATTCACAAATTTAAAATAAAATATACAGTGTGTTCAAGCTAAGAGGTACCACTAAGTATATCAGTTGGATGACTTTTTATTTAAATGGGGTTTTTGGGAAATTAAAGAGAGTATCGTAATATACAATTTCAGACAAATTTCAAATGTTTGACCCTATCGGTACGCGCATGCGCAATACAACTTACTTTTTTTAAATGGCAACACCATATTTTTTTTACATAATCGGGTAGAGTATATTTTTTTAAGCAATTTTGGTATAAAAAGTTTTTTATAATTACGAAATTGGCAAAGTTAGATATAAATAAACACTTTTTTTATTGTAATTTACTCTTCTAACATATGATAGCTAATTGAAGGTAATGAAAATTATAATTATAGCTTATCTATTTACAGATATTTATCAATATCTGAGATATTATTATGATTTTCAAATAACAATCAGTTGAATTTTGTTTAAATTTCGTCAAAAACAGAATATTCGTAAATTTAAATTTCAACATATTATAAATTTGTTGATTTTGTATTTGTAAAAATTTTTTTTATAAAAATTGTTTAAAAAAAAATACTCTACCCGAGTATGTAAAACGTATATGGTATTGCCATTTAAAATAAAATACAGTGTATTGCGCATGCGCGTACCGACAGGGGCAAACATTTGAAATTTAGCTCGATTCACACTAGCGGTCTCGGTTCGGTCCGGTCACGGTCAAGTCACGGTCAAGGATTGTGATGTACAGTTCTCACTACCGGTCACAATCAGTCAAGTTCTATCTGCACGTTGCCACAATGTGTACAAAAGTGTTCAAAAAAACAATCAAAACAATGGATACGATCGAGATTAGCGCGGCGGCTGACTATTCACACTAGGCGATCTCGATCAAAAAGCTCGTGACCGTGGCGGTCAGGATCGTGCATCGACTGAGTGAACTGTGTGACTAGTGAGAACTGTACATCATAATCCTCGACCGTGACTTGACCGTGACCGGACCGAACTAAGACTGCTAGTGTGAATCGAGCTTTAAGCTGAAATTTTGCATTCTGGTACTTCCTTTCATTTCCCGAAAATCTTATTTAAATACAAGGTCATTCAACTGAAATCTTTTAGCGTGAATACACTGTATTTTACAATACTTGTTTATTACCTATGTTACATGCCCATAATAACTCTTCTTTTCCAAGCAATGAAAGCATAATAAATCGTGTCATATCATTCATCGATTACGAAATTGTCAACCAATAACACATGCTTCTTTACATATCCACTTATATAATGTTAATCTAACATCTAACATAAATGATAGATATCAACAAGTGATTCCGAACAACCAAGTTTATGGAAAATTTTTGTATTACTTATATTTTATAATAAAGAAAAAAAATTTTGTATTCATAATTAAAATGTTAATACATACATTCCTAAGTTTGTAAAATTATTATGAGTAGAGATTGTTTTTTTTAAAAATATTTTAAATGTTTTTATATCGATTTTTAAGGCTTCAAATTTATGTGATTTTTGCAACTCTTGGCATTAACGATTAAATAAGTTAATAGTTAAGTTAATTTTGATTTTCAAGACCAGAAAAATATTTTTTAAAATACCGCATTCGATAACAAGTTTATGGAATTTAGAAAAATATAAAAATAAAAATTTCGAAGATTTTTTTAGACGAGACCATAATTTTTATACGGTATTAACCATTAATGGGTTGGGAAAACTACTTAACCACGTAAATCTATATTACAAAAATAGGTATATATTATCATTGATTATAAAATACAATTATTATTAAAATTATACCATAATCTATGATATTATTAAATGAGATTGAAATTATTAAATATTATTAAATAACAGAAGAAATTCAATAGCTTATCAACATTTTGAGATGACTCTTTTCTTGAGATTCAACAGGTATTTTGATTAACCTGTCCATTGTATTGTTTTATTTACTTAGATTTTGATAAAGTTAAATAATATTATATACCTACATATTTATTTTAATGTTTTGTATCTACTGTATACAGTATACATTTATTGCCTGTATAATTTTATAGTTGCACTTTTAGCTTCAGTAATTATTTTTAGTTTTCATATTGTTATTGAATATTAAAAAGAATACTTTTTTTTTTTTAATTATATTTATCATATGTGATTTGTATGAAAAATGAATAAAAACAAACGATACATAAATTACCATAAATTTAATATTTGAGTGCTTAAAAACAATCCCAATAAAGAAATGTATATTTTTCCTCTAATTAGAATTTAATGAGATTTTTCTACATTTTCATTATCGTTAATGTTAAATAAGGTCTATTATAAATTGTTAATTTATATATTAGAGATATATTATAATAAATATGAATATATTTACATTAGTAGAAAATAGTTATAGTTGTTTAAAAAAAAAAAATGAAAACCAATGAAATGACTGGGAATCTTAGGCAGAATTAATAAGCCAAGAATGCCCGAATGCATAAAAAACAGGTTATAATTTTTTTTTAGAAACTAAAGTTCTATTTAAAAATTTAATTGCTG